CAGGTAGGGGTGAGTAGCTCATCTTGATAGAGATTCAAACTCAGTGTGAGGCCACTCAGTAAAAGTCTCAGGATACATGAAGGCCAACCACCATCCACCTGGGGCCTGCAGACCTTTGTGGTGGGGCAGGTTCTCAGAGAGTCATCAGTAGAAAGCAGTAGAGCTCGTCAGGCTAAAACAGATTAAGATTTGGCTATTTGGATATTTGGAGGGAGAGCTGTGCACACAAGATGGACCTCCTTGAGAGCTTTCCAAGGTAGTCTGTACCATGGGCCCATGTTGGCCACACCCAGCTGACTCCTCTGCAGGGCACTGAGCTCATCAGGGTGGGGCCACAGGGAATCCAGAGCGTAGAGCTAGTGCATTTTCCCAGGCTGAGATGGCATTGTGCAGAGTGCAAGATAGTGTCTGTGGGCAGTGTGGGGGAGAGACTCAGCACAGGGACCCTGGCAGATGTCCCTCTAACCCTCTTTTCAAATCCTCACAACCCAATTTCTTCCTGTATGACTTCTGTCTGCTCTGAGCTGCTGGCCCTTGCTGGAGCCCAGGGTGCAGGCCTGTGAACCAGATTTTATGTGTTGGCCCTTTAAGAAGGCAGACTCGGTCTGTCCTGGTGGACAGAATCCCTGCTGATTTTCACACCAGATGTTCTTCAGGCTCCAGATGTTACTCCGGCTCCAGATATTACTCCGGCTCCAGATGTTATTTGGCTCCAGATGTTACTGGTGTTCTGGGCTGGAGAGCCCACATGTGGTTGAGACCCACGGGAGATCTTTGCTGCTGAGATATTCCTTCAGATTCTTGACAGCTGCAAAGATCCTCCCAGCCCTTTTTGTGTCTCTGTCCTTCCTACAAGTGAGAAGGCAACCATCTGCAAGCCAGGAAGAGAGTCCTCACCAGAACTCCACTATGCTGGTACCCTGATCTAGGATTCCCAGTCTCTCGAACTGTGAGAAAATAAGTCCTTGTTGTTTAATCACCTAGTATTTTGTTATTTTGTTATGGCAGCTCTAGCTGACCATGATTGAACTTATTCTGTCCTTCAATTTGTTCTCTAACTATTTATAGGGAAACCTTTCTAGGGTGGGTAGAATTACCAATGTATAAAATTCCCTTCCTTTATATTTATTCCATTTGTTTTCTTGAATTCTCCTTCATCCCATCTTCATCATTTCTATTTCTAATATGTCTCTAAAATGGAGATATTTTAAATATCTCTAGAATTCCCATGCTAAATTCCAACGTTGAATAAATTTTTCAGGATAGAAAGTCTTGTTTACTATTAATATAAAAGTTTTCAGTAACTTTCACCAGGACAATGTTATTCTATACTATTTGTTTTGTTAAAAATTAACATTAGTGTAGGAGGATTCTACATAATGATAGGAAAAGGAAGAAATGAGCATGAAGATTTTCAAATGTTGGAAATGATAGTCCTTAGGTATTAGGAAGATTGGGGAATATATCAGAGATGAAATAGCCAAGGAACCAATGAATTATAATGCCATTTCTTCTAGAATAGAAAAACACAGTCTTCCAATTAATTAGCTAATTAATTAATTAATTAATGAATGTTTGTTAATTAATGTTTGTTCAGGATCTCCTGGGCACTGTGCTAGGCACTAGGGAGGGGGTATAGCATTAAACAAGACCAACACAGCCTGTGTTCATAGAGCTTACAGATTGGGGGCAGAATCAGAAATAGAATACTTTTAGAAGTACATTGGTGTTTCCTTCATTCAGTGTAGATTTTTAAGACTTATAAAAGGACACAATCTCCCATATTCTGCCCCCCCCCCCCACTTAGCTGCTATAGCAAGGTGAGCAGTTCCCCCCTCTCCCCCCATAAATGCCATTCCAAGGAAAGTGTTTTCCTTTTAACATTTTATATTAGAAAATAAAATACACATTCTGAAGAGTGCACAAAATGTAAACGTATAGGTTAATAAGTATAAAATAAAATACATATATCACCAAGGTTAAGAAATATAATTTTGCCATCATCTCCTCTTCCCTCTTATGACTCATGCTGCTGTTCACATTTTAATGTGTTTTCCTGCACATGTAGATACGTTTCTCTACAGCATTATCTAAGTGGAATTGCTGGGTTGTAAAATATGTGCATATTCTACTAGATAATTACAAACTGTTCTCAAAATGGTTATGCAAATTTCATTAACCATTAGCAGTGAGAATCCCAAGGCTCCACTTCCTTGCCAGCAGTTTTGCTATACTAAATATATATATACATATATATATATATATTTGCCAATCTGGTGAGTATATACTGGCAATTTATTATAATTTTTATTTTTAAAATTTATTTTTAATCCTCACCTGAAGACATCTATTAATTTTAGAGAGAGAAAGGGAGAGGGAGATGGAGAAGGAGAGGGAGAGGGAGAGAGAGACATTGATCAGTTGTCTCCTGTATGCACCCCCGACCAAGGATGGAACCCTCAACCTAGGTATGTGCCCTGACTGAGAATTGAACCCTCAACCTTTTGGTGCATGGGACGATGCTCCAGCCAACTGAGCCACTGGTCAGTGCTATTATAATTTTAAAAATGTATTTTTATTGATTTCAGAGAGGAAGAGAGAAGGAGAGAGAGATAGAAACATCAATAATGAGAGATAATCATTCATCAGCTGCCTCCTGCATGCCTTCCACTGGGGATTGAACCTGCAACCCAGGCATGTGCCCTTGATTGGAACTGAACCCAGGACCCTTCAGTCTGAAGTCCGACGCTCTAACTGCTGAGCCAAACCAGCTAAGGCATAATTTTAATTGGCATTTCATTGATTACTAATGAGGTTAAAGAGATTTTAATCTATTTATTGGCCCTCTTTACAATAAAAGTAGTGTGTATTTTATTATTTTTATAAAGTGTGTACTATACATTACTTATATTAACATAATTTGTTAAACACACACACACACACACACACACACACATACATTTTTAAACATAGAGTCAGCTGTGACTCATTTGCCACAATGCCATTGGTCTAGGGGTGGGCAACCTTTTTGACTCGAGGGTTCTTAAACTGAACCGGAGGGCCGGAACAAAAGCATGGATGGAGTGTTTGTGTGAACTAATATAAATTCAAAGTAAACATCATTACATAAAAGGGTACGGTCTTTTTTTTCAATAGTTTTATTCATTTCAAACGGGCCAGATCTGGCCCGCGGGCCGTAGTTTGCCCACGGCTGGAGACTCTAGACCAGTGATGGTGAACCTAAGACACGCGTGTCAGAGGTGACATGCAGACTCATTTTTTGGTTGATTTTTGTTAAATGGCATTTAAATATATAAAATAAATATCAAAAATATAAGTCTTTGTTTTACTATGGTTTCAAATATCAAAAAATTTCTATATGTGACATGGCACCAGAGTTAAGTTAGGGTTTTTCAAAATGCTGACACTCCGAGCTCAAAAGGTTCGCCATCACTGCTCTAGACCAATTAAGACTCCTACCAGAAAGGCATAAGTATTTAAATTTTTCATATCACTGCAAACAATGACATTTTCCAATGCTTTGTTTCTTTCTCACTGTGTGATATTTTCTTAAATTGATTATTTTGAAATAATTTTTGATTTATATGAGTTTCAAATAGTCCAGAGATTGTATGCCTGCTCTAGATTCTTTTTCTTTTTGATTGTCTAGTGACCTGTAGTTGGTTTTAGGACTCTTTATATATCTTGATGCCAGTGTTTGTTGCCTTCATAATTTATTGTTCAATTTTTCAACAACTGTGCACAAGATATATTTGTTCTTCTCATAGTTTTCTTTATACAAATGATTTTAATTTTTAAATATATATTTTTATTGATTTCAGAGAGTAAGGGAGAGGGAAAGAGATAGAAACATCAACGATGAGAAAGAATCATTGATCGACTGCCTCCTGCGCATGCCACACTGAGGATCAATCCTGCAACCCGGGCCTGTGCCCTGACTTGGAATTGAATCGTGACCTCCTGGTTCATAGATCGATGCTCAACCACTGAGCACGCTGACCGGGCATAGCTTCCTTTTTAAAAAATTTATGTCCCTTTACCGGTGCCTGGATCTTGACTCCATCCTGTTTCTTTAAGTACTTCTTAGTAAAAACATTCTAACTTACTGAAAAACAAATTGATGTAATTCTCAATTATTTTTTTTTTTTGTGTAGGTGGAAGGCTTAATAAGGAAGGGAACTTGCATATGTAATACTTTCAACATAAAGCATTAAAAAATAAAATTGTCTACTTCTTGTCCTAGTCCATGGTCATCTGTAGGATTATTTAAGAATAAGTATAATCTCAAGATATTCTTTCTGTAAATAAGAACAGTTAAATATCTAAGACATTTTCAGCAACTCATTAAAATGCTCAGATTATGTGCAATTATAAATGAAATAGCCAGAGTGAGTAAAATAAGAGATCTTATACTTGAAAAGTTTAACTTACTTAAGAGAGTTTGCAAAAGTTGGGTGAAGGGCATTCGTTAACGAATGCAAAGCTTACCTCTGGTTGCTGAATGTATTTCTGAAAGAAAAGATAAGCAAGTGAGTATGGTGCGGTTTGCTAACATGCTTACAGGAACTTTGTTTGGGCTTGATTATCATGGAGCACTAAGTAATAGCAGGCCATTTAGATGGATAAATTACCACGTGCAAGCACTTGTCTAAGAGCTTTATGCGATTCATATTATTGAGTCCTCACAACCCCATCACTAAGTTCTGAGCACAGAGATTACTCAAGGTCACACAGCTAATGATTGGCGGAGCCAGCATCTGCCCCAAGCACTTAGGATCTAGTCTTGCTTTTAAAAAAGTACTTATCCGTCAGTTTGGCTCCATCCTCTCAGTGTTGGTCTGAGGCTCTTAGACTTTGTTTTTTGTAATGTCATACTGTCATTGTCTTTAAGAGGTGACCTGAAACTGGAATCCAGGTTTGTTATACACTAGAATCTTCATGTTATTCAACCTTTTTCCAATCTTTTTTTTTTTTTTCAGAAAAGAGAGGAGAATGAGCTACTTTTCACAGATGCTCATTGAGCATCTATATGTTCCAGACACTCACTAGCTGTTGGCAATATGATTCAAGATGGAACACTGAGCTGACTGAAGAATTCAATAGTCTACAAAGGAACCAGCCGCATTACCAAATGATGCATCAATGTAGTGGTCACTCTAACAGAAGTGTGAACAAGGTGCTGTAGGAGTACAAAGGAGGAAGTGCCACTCTTGTTCCCTTTTCTCTCAGCCTCTCTGAGAAGCTGATACAATTTGGAGGACAGCCTGACTGTATTGGGAAGCTGCTTCTTTAACGAGGACAGGTAGAGGATAGAGTATGGTACAGTGGGAAGGGGGGTACTGATAGATACATTCCAGAAAAAAGTGAAAGGTAAAGGTGATAGGAAAGTAATGGAAGAAACTGTAGGAGAAAATCTTCCTGAGGTGAAGGTTGGGTAAGAACTGTAACCTCCATAAACCAAACTACAATGTGAAAAACTGATATGTTTGAGTAAATAAAATTTTAGGGTTTCTGCTCAATGACACACACAACAGACAGATTTCAGAGGTAAATGACAAACTGTGAGAATTTATTTGCTATATCTAAAGCCTGGAAAACAATCGAGATGTATGAGTGGTATCTGAAAATCAATCAGAAAAAGACAAAAATAAATCCATTGGAAGGGTGGTAACTGATGGTAACAAGCTCACCAACAGGAAAGCTGAATGGTTAACAAGTGTGTTAACCCATTGGGACCAGAGAAGAGGAATTTAAAGCAACATTGATATACCCTTTTGACATCCGAAAGGCATGATACAAGCTGTTGGTAGGAATGTGGGTTGACAGCCAATGTTCCAAGTGGGAATATAAATTGTACAGCAGTTGTGGAAATTATCTGGAATATGCTGTATGAGCTAGAAATACACTTGCTTAAACACATATCTCAAGGAACTATTTTAGAAAGTATTTTTCTTTTATTTATTTATTTACTTATTTTATTTTTAAATTTTTTATTAAATTATTACATATGTGTTCTTATCCCCACATTACCCCCCATTCTTCCCCCACTCATGCCCTCACCCCCCCTGTTGTCTGTGTCCATTGGTTAGGCCTATATGCTTGCATATAAGTCCTTTGGTTGATCTCTCCCCCTTACCCCCACCCTCCCCTACTTTCCTTCCCTCTGAGGTTTGATGGCCTGATAGATGCTTCTCTGTCTCTGGATCTGTTTTTGTTCATCAATTTATGTTGTTCATTACATTCCACAAATGAGAGAGATCGTGTGATATTTATCTTTCTCCGGCTGGCTTATTTCACTTAGCATAATGCTCTCCAGGTCCATCCATGCTGTTGCAAATGGTAAGAACTGCTTCTTTTTTTTTTTTAAACACCATGTAGTATTCCATTGTGTAGATGTACCACAGTTTTTTAATCCATTCATCTATTGATGGGCACTTAGGCTGTTTCCAAATCTTAGCTATGGTGAATTGTGCTGCTATGAACATAGGGGTGCATATATCCTTTCTAATTGGTGTTTCTAGTTTCTTGGGATATATTCCTAGAAGTGGGATCACGGGGTCAAATGGGAGTTCCACTTTTAGTATTTTGAGGAAACTCCACACTGTTCTCCACAGTGTCTGCACCAGTCTGCATTCCCACCAGCAGTGCACGAGTGTTACTTTTTTCTCCACATCCTCTCCAGCACTTGTGGTTTGTTGATTTGTTGATGATAGCCAGTCTGACAGGTGTGAGATGGTACCTCATTGTTGTTTTGATTTGCATCTCTCAGATGATTACTGACTTTGAACATGTTTTCATGTCTTTTGGCCTTTCTTCTGTCTTTAGAAAGTATTTTTCTTTTTCAAGGAATTTTAACTTGAGTTGATAAGGATACATATCAGAATGTTCAGTTACAATGTATCTGTGACATTAGTGTGTTCACTACCAGGAAATGGAAATGTGAGAAATGCATTCTTCATTATGCTCTAAGGGCTGGAAGCAACGTACGGGATGTACATATAGCAACATGGATAGATCTTTACAGATAGTGAATGCAAAAAGGAAAGAATGAGATATAGTTGATGAAATTAAACACACTCACACACGTAAATGCTACAAGTTCCGTATACATGTGAAAGGAATGGGCTTTGGATGAAGGTGAAAAATAAAGAAATGTAGAAGAGAGTGAAATTTATTTATTTATTTATTTACTTTCTGTTGTTGTTATTGAAGAGAGTAAATTTTAAATTAACTTTTATCTGATTTTATTTTCTTTATTTTTATTATTTATTTATTTAATTTATTTTTTTTTAATTTAAAAAAATTTTTTTTTAAATTTTTTTTTTTATCTGATTTTAACCCTGGCTTTATTTACTAGCTGTATGGATATTAATATGTTGTTTAACCTCAATATGCATGTTTTCTTGACACAGAAATGGGGCAAGTGAATATAATTATATGGAGTTTAGGGAAATAGTATATGCAAATTTCTCTTTTCTTATGAGGTGGGCAATTCATACTCTTTCCTTTCCTTTTCTCTCTTCATTCCTCTCTTTCCCGGGACACCACCTCTGTGGCCCTGCTTTTATTCAAACATTACTGCATTAACTTTTATTTCATCGTTATCTTCTGTTCCCCCCCCTCATCTTATTCTGTCCTCTTCTATTTCTCTCTCGACTCCCATTGCCCCTCATGCACACATATACATTTATTGTTTGGCTATCAGCCACTATAATCATGCTAATGAGACTGCTGATTAAATCTTTCCCTCTGTCTCTGGAATTAAATACTTCGCTATGAAATACAACATGCATATAGAGTGTTTAGATATGCTCATGCATATAATGCAGAGTAATATTTACCTACCCAACATCCGGGTGCCTCTAGCTATGTGCCCTCCCTGACTGCATCTTGCTTTCCCATTGCATCTCTCAAGTTCGTTCCTTTGAAATTCTATATTATTTTTGTTAAATTTATTGAGATAACATCTATAATAATAGAAGCGTAATATGTGAATTAGACTGGACATCCTTCTGGACAAAGCCTGGGCTGCGAGGGAAGCCCGGGTCCCGGGTGCCAGAGGGAAGCCGGTGCTGGCAGCTCGGGGAAGGAAAGCCTACTCTTGCACGAATTTCATGCATCAGGCCTCTAGTTCAGTGATGGTGGACCTTTTGAGCTTGGCATGTCAGCATTTTGAAAAACCTCATATTGAGGTTTTCAGATCTGTAATCTTGAATTCTCTGTCACCTAAATAACAAATTTCCATGTCTTTAAGTTCATTTTCTGGAGATTTTTCATTTTATTTCTGATTTCTCTGTCTATTTTGATTATTCATTGTGCTTGATGGAGTATTTCTTGGCCTTTCATTTGTGGAAATGAAAGGTGCTTTTAAAAAAAGAACTTTATTGTTAAGTACAGGTTTCCCTTTTGTTTCCCACTAGGTGGCAATGAGGCACACATTTTCATTTCTCTTACCTGCATTGTTGGGGCTTCTGGGAGCTCTGTGGGCAGTGACTGTGGAAAATGCTTCCTATTCCCCAGGAGGTGGGCATTCCTTTTATGACTTGGTTTGTCTTGATCTTAGGGATCACTCCCATGGATCGGAAGGGATGGGCTATGTGTTTCCTGTGTATCCCTTGCACCACTGTGCTGTAGCCAGAAGCCACCACAGGGCTGGTCTGAATCCACCCAGCTGCCTTCACCAAGCTCTGCCAGATGGGTGGGCATGGTGGGTGGGGGTGCATATAGGAGAGGAGGGGAACGTGCATTAGTGGGTAGTGGTTCTGCACCTTCTCCTGGGTTTAGCCACAACGAATACAGACCACTTAGGTTGAAAGGTTTTCCTTTTAGCCCTTTTGCAATCTGCCTAGAGCCGTGTTTGGCAAACTGCGACTCGCGAGCCACATGCGGCTCTTTGGCCCCTTGAGTGTGGCTCTTCCTAAGCCTTAGGAGTACCCTAATTAAGATAATAACAATGTACCTACCTATATAATTTAAGTTTAAAATATTTGTCTCTCTAAAGAAATTTCAATCGTTGTACTGTTGATATTTGGCTCTGTTGACTAATGAGTTTGCCGACCACTGGCCTAGAGGATTCACTGCCTGGTGGGCCACAGGGCAATAGAGTGGGTGGATTTCTCGTTTTTTGGAATTTTTTGTCCAGGATGGGCTTTGGAGGGCTGCCATTTTTTGCACCATTTCTCTCTGCCCCTGACCTTAGGCCCAAATTCAATGTGTTCCAGCACATGGGCCGCATAGCTGTCTTTGCCCTTCTAGTCTGTTCTGCCCCATGGGGCTGCACTCAGCCCGTCACTACTATTGCATCTGGAGGGGCTGTGGTGAGGACAGGGCTGGGTGCACCTTCTCTCTGTCACTCCCCCTCCTTGACCTCTGCTGTTCACTCGGATAGGCCCACCTTCATGTGTCTTTGGCGATGCCTCAGACAGATGTGTTGAGCAGGAAATCCTTTGTTGAATTGTGGCTGGCCAACTTGTAACTTCAAGCGGAGAGATTTGGAGGTTCTCTCAGGCTGACATACTTCTGATGTAGTTGCTAGGTTCTTGCTTGAATGAACCATGGTCCTGAATTTTTGTTTTAATTCTTCCTGATTTACTCTTTATTCCTTTTTATTAATACATCCTTTAACGGCTAAGCATTTCGAAATAATCTAATGAGATACGCTTTATGTAAAATTAAAAGAGTTGAACTGGCTGATAGTTGTCAGAGAGGAGGGGGTTTCGAGGGCTGGGTGGGTAAAAGGTGAAGGGATTAAGCAGCATAAATTGGTACTTACAGAGATGCCACAGAGATGTGTATTACAGCAAAGGGAATCTAGTCAGTAATGTCATGGTACATAGGTATGGGGCCAGGTAGGTACCTGAAGTAGAGGGGGTCCCCTCTGTAAAGCACATGATTTTCTAACTACTTTGCTGCACACCTGGAACTAATACAGAATTTAAAAAGAGCTGAAAACAACTGATTCTGAATTTGAATCTATCCAGAAGTGAAAATAGAAAATGCAAAAAATTGTTCAGCAGGCCCTGAGAAATTAATATTTAAGAATAAAAAGACTTACCAAGAGATGATGAAGATATGCCTAAAAGCAAGCCAAATAAATAACTAAGGTTAGGTTTTCCGGATCAGTACCCAAGTCTTATGTAATCTTAGAATCTGAAAGTTGTACTCTTTCAGGGAGTGCCTCACCATCAATGTTGCTCAGTTGTAATAACATGTAGTGAGCGCAGCATCTCAAAGTTTAATGTACGAATAACTCTAGTTTTTCAGTTTCTATGAAGATACAGTTTGGT